TAAAGCTCTCAGAACGGTGAGAAGTGCATCAAGCTGAGCAGGGAATAAGTGCGATTTCTCATGCCTTCAGCAACATCTGCAGTTCTGGGTTCAGAACTCGATTAATAATCGTGCCCTTGGACCCATACTTGTGGTAGTAGAAAAAAACACTTGGGGACAGTAAGTTTCGCTAAAATCCAACGGGACGAAGATGTTTCAGATGGAACCCACAGGGTGAATTCCATGTGCACCGGTGGCTACCTTGCCCCAAGGCTCAATTGTTTTCAGTGGAAGTTATAGATGGTAGGATGCGCACTGGACACTCGATACTATCTACAAGACATGCCTTCGCTTCGCTTCGGCATAGGTATGCTCTGCAACATGTCTAAAAATAATCAATCACTCGTTGTTTAGAAATTACTCAGGACTGCACATCCCGTACTCGACATCTCCCGAACAGGGGTGGACAATGATTCATTCGTTTAAGGTGGATAGAGAATTAACCTGTGGAACCTGTGTAGATTGGGGCAAAACCGAAGTACAGCGATGACACATTCAGGAGAGCAATTCATTGACGCAACATGTCTACATACACATACTTCAGCATCAAGAAGGTGAAGTCGGAAACGTCGTGCGAGATATTGGTGATCGGTGGACGCGTCGGAAACCTACTCACAGTATGGTGTGACACAGCGGCGACAGAGTAGGGAGTTGAGGATACCGAGTGAAGTCCAATCCATGGTTCGTTAGAAGCGTTTCTGAGACGCGTCTGGAGGAGATGCAGTGCTTGTAGGACACTGGAGCTAAATTGGGCAGTGCGAACGAAGAGAATACAGTTTTGATAAAAGACTCACCAGGGCGTAGTATCTCTCTCTTGCCGAGCGGGCAAAAAAGGTGATGCCGCGGATGTGGGCAGTTTGCACGAGCCAGAAATTTGAATTTTGAAGGTTCGTAAGGTGCTGGGCGAAAGGAAAAGTGAATGCTGAATCAGGAAAGCTCAGGATGAGCAAAACATACCGGAAACGCGTAGGGTTCTTCGCAGGAGCGCGAAAAATCGAATCCGAATTTCCGTGAAGCCCTGTACGACACAAAGGCGCGGGTATTTGCAAAGCAGGAGGCGGTGCAAATCTCACCTGGTGGGTATGCGAAGCGTTCCAGAGTATGAAGGTGAGACCGATGGTTGAGAAGGCTGGCTTAAATTGATTCAACAGACATAGCTGGAGCGTGACGACCTTCTTCATCTCTGTCCACCGTCAAGCAGTACGCCGGCGTACGTCGAACTGCTCTACCATGATTGTTCAGCTTCTCAATCGAAAGGCGTGTCTAGATGCATACCGTTGTATGTCGAATCTGTTTCCAAAATAATGATCATGGTTCAGTTGTAGCGCGGCATGTGCGATACTAGTGCCTCAAGTAGGGAGTTAAAATGTGCAAGATGGCGAACACGATGAACGGCACATGGACAGCTCTCAGCATTAGACATAACTCGAGAAGTTGCCGTAAGTGATCTTCCGAGGCTTGAAGAGCGCTCCCGGATCCCTTGCATCTGAAACTTGAGCAGTGTGGTGAGATAATTGAGTGTTTTGAGGAATCCCGAGGTCGTGGATTGTCATAACGGTCCCTTAGGCGTTCCATTCTTGGGAAATATTGTGCTATCCTGGCCTTGAGCTAGGCCTTAACTGTTTGATAGGTTGCGAAGTCTTGAGGGGCTTTGTTGAGTGTTGAAGCACTAATTGAAGCGGGAAGAATGTTGGGCCCGGGTGATGGTAGGGTAAGAGCGAAAGGTGGTGATTTGACAGACACTTCCCTTTTGAGTGGGCCTTGAGAGCACGAAAAAATGGCCCTGTGATTAGTCTGCGGAGCTTTCCAGAGCTAGTCTAGCCATTCGGAGTCAAGGTGGGGAACGTGGTTGGGAAAGCAGACCCAAATCGAGGTGAACGCAAACATGTGCATACTAATTCGAGGCATCTGCTTAATATATGAGGTATGGGAAGCCGGTAGGAAAAAAATACAATGAAAGCAACACACCATGTAGTTCGGCATGCAATTCAGACAGAACTCGTTGCTGGTTCTGCTCGGATGACGGAAGGGCGGAATAGAAAATAAAAGATGAATCTGATACTAATCTGAGAAGTTCGGGAATTCGCGTGCGCCCCAGTGGCGTGCGAAGAACAACATGTACATCGTGATACGAGGCATCTGCTTAATATACGAGATATCGGAGGGGTAACGATCCATGGTGAAGAAATGAGAAATAATGAAATAATCCCCAGGAAGCAGACAATTTTGACAAACATGGTCTGCACCAAAGGTGCAGATGTTACTACCGAATTCAAAGAGACCTAAGGGGCTGAACAAGAATTTCAGGAGCTATGGACTAAGTTACGACGGAGGGGGGTGTCGTAAATGGAATATTGCTAGGCGGGCGATGCGGACGCAGTACGGCAGGGCAACGGAGCAGACAAGGCCACGGCCGTGCTGGTGGGCGTAGCGGACAAGAAGGCTGATGGTGCACAGCCTCTTGATCTGCGCACGGGAGTTGAACCGTAACGGAAGAGGGCTAGCGGTCAGTGCAAGTAGGAAAAGCGCGCGAATGACCGAAAGAGAGGGGAATTTGGCGTGCGGGGAAGCCCGGAGGAAGGAGAAGGGGAGAGGACCGGGGACAGAGGAATGGGGGCGAGATTGATCCGACGGGGATGTGCGGAGATGTGTGGGGAGGCATGTGAACAAAGCCACACCACCACGACCTGGCCGTTATTCCGCCGCCCTTCACTGGATCGTTCTTTCTGTGCGTGGTTCCACCGGCCGGCTTGGCCGACCGCCGCCGCTTTCCCTCAGCCCTCCACTGACTCAATGTGTACGGGGCGCCAGACCTCGACGCCTCAGTACCGCTGCGCTTACCATCTTGAGGCAGGCCTTTGCGATTACATGTGTGCTATATCCCATTTCCTCTCCCCTCCCGCACTCCACTTACACCGCAAGGGCTATGCATTGCTCGGTTCCTTCGTGAATCTGATTATCCCTCGTCCCAGGTCCGTGGATTGAGTGTCATCTGGCGTTGCTCCCGCATTAACGGTACTGCATGGGCATTCTTCACTTTCTCAAGTATTTTTCCCCGTCTTTCACCTCGTAATCGGCCAATTCCTGCTCTACCGGATTGCGCCCCTACCCCTGATTCTCCGCGGACACACAAAACAAAGAGGCCACGAGCATTGAGAAATCAAGGTATGCCCAGATTGCTTATCCTTCATACTTCTGCTCACTCCCCCGTCCCCATCGTGCCCTGGCATGTCTCTTCAGTTTTTCATGTGGATGATTACCTCCGCCGCGACCCATCCATGCCCGTCACTGCCGCCATTGGCCGCCCAGATTCACTTGCCCCTCCAGCTTCCCACTTGGGCGCGTGTTGTTTTGTTTTTCTGGAATTAGATACATCTCGTCCATGCTCACATGCGCCGTTTACAGAGAACGGACAAGCTATCCTCGCTTTCGTGCTCTGCACGAATGTTCCAGGCACCTTGAGTGTGGGTGGCACATGCGTACGTCCGCCCGTGGTGTCACGAGAAGTTGCCACGGATGGGCACAACTGCAACATATCTTTTTTCGGTGCGCCCGTATCTTTGTTGATGTGAGGATGGGCTCATTCTCGATCTTTCGTCTCGTCAAAGGAGATGTGCGCCCACGATCGTTTTCGCTATGCCACAATCTGTCACGCATCCTAGACAGACCCCCAATTCATCTTGCGACTCTCCTTTCTCCTCCACCCCTCGCGCGCGCAGTGGCGCTTGACCATCTGTCTTCACACATTCTTGCACCCATCACTGTAACAGCAAACGAGCACCGCCGCTCTTCAGTTGAAGTGCGTTCGTGTCATTTGCTCTTTCTGTGAGCACCTTCTCGTCACGCCCCGTTTTTCATCAGAAGCCCACACTCATTGTCTCGGGGGCATATTACAGTTGCCCATCTGTTCTATACATCACAACGGTGGCTGTTGCATGACATAGCTGCCGGGGGCTGTGGCACAGTACAGCCACATTATTTGGTACAAGACATATTGGCAACAGTATAGGCCGAAAGTTTGATTGGAAACATCAACTCCACAAAGGCAGCATTTTCAGGACCTCAGAGGCCGGCCCAAAATTCTGATTGTGATCTTGACTTCTCTCCAAGAATATCTGGTCAGCAGCTGTCACAAATCAACACATCAGTGAGCTTGGTAAGTGAGACCTGGTGCTCAGAGTTTGTTGCATCTGTATCACTTTGATAGGTTCACAACGAATATGTGAGCTGGAATTCACTTTGTACAATGCGAGTTACAAATCTGAGCAGGGAGCTCCTCTATTGTGTTGGTTTCAGTGGAAATCCTTCATCCCCCGGATGAGCTCTCTCATTCCTTTGCATTGGCTTGACTGTCGCAGGTGTCATATTTGGGGAGCAATACAAAGAGCTGGTTGGCGATTCCGAAAAGAAGATCAAGAAGGTAATCCACAGCCCATGAAATTTTTATCAAACTCCTCTGCAGGGGTGGTGCTGTATCTGGGAGCCATGGTGACCCCGAGCTGGTATATGGCTTTCAGCACCCACGGATGAGAGTCATGTCACCTTGTATTCAATTTTCTCATCTCCCAGCCGGATCCAGACAATTGCTTGTCTCAAATGCCTGAACTGACTACGCCTGCTGAGGAATTGTTTGTTGAAGTTAAGCTGGATTGGAAATCCCCAAAGTACGGAATAAGAATAAACTAGGCTGCCATTCATTCATTGAGCAAGTTCAGCCTCTTAATTCTCCTGTAACCAACAGATCCTGCAGAAAGTCTTGCCTGAGCTCGATTTAACATGTACTCTCTAAGTATTACAAACTGTGAGAAAGGACTTCATCACCTTAGCCAGTTAACAGCATGAAATAAGATCAGGTTGACTTAAGTTCCGGGTGTGAAAATACCGGCAGGCCTACTTGAATGCCTTACGTGCTGAACTTACGTTACTCGCGAACTTAAGTCCTGTTCAAACACCCAAAACAATTCCACCAAAGAGATTTGAACACAAGACCTTCGAATTTTTCACCAGGAGGAGTTTTTAATCAAGGAGATAACCACTACACCATGAAGGATTTGATATCTTGCCCACACAGAACAATTATATTAGCCTTGTATTGGCCTTAAATCTTCTCCACTTTCTTTATTTTGCCCTTCTAGGTCCTGCGGCCCAACCACTATTTATAGATGACCAGAGATTGATCTGTTCCAATAAATTATTATTGTATGGAAACATGATGAAACATGACTGGAAATGACAACACTGGTTGGGAGATTCAAGTTTTTCAGCACAATTTCCGGTTGAAAAATGTCATTTGTTTTTCAGACATTTTCCACGGAAAAAAAGAGGTGAAAATTTCAACTATTTTTCACCACTATTCCAAGCAGAATTCAAGGTGAAAAACTTGAATAAAATTCATGAGGATTCATGCTAAGTTGTCACCAGCAATTCAGTGGTTTTTCAGAGATTTTTGCTGAAAAAGCAGGTGAAAATTTTAAATCTTCTTCACTACTATTTCAAGGAGAATTTGAGGTGAAAAACTTGAAACAAAATTTCATAATGTTTCATGCTGGCTTTCACCCGAAATTCACCTGCATTCTCACCAGGAAAATTGTGGTGAAAAAATCAAAACCTTCTTTACAACAATTTTCGGTGGAAAAATGGGTATAAAATGTCTGAAATGTTCAAGGAAAGATGGTAAAAATTTTGAAACCCAGTTTGGATTTTTTCAAGGATTTTTCAAGCCCCTTTCCACTGTTATTTGTGGTGAAAAATGTGATGGAAAATGCATGTTGTTTTTCACCACCTTTTGCAGTTGTATATACAGGTGAAAAAGTCAAAACATTCCTTACACATTTTTCACTGGAAATCACAGTGAAAAAACTTGAAATACTCGGATTCAAGTTTTTCAGTGGGCCATTTGAAAGCCTCCCCTTTAAGTTTTCCACCCCAAAATTCATCAGTTTTTTCAGGTGAAAATATTGGTGAAAAACTTGAAATTCTAGTTCAGATCCAGAGTGCCAAAGTGAACTGTGCACTATTCTCTCCAAGTACCATGACTTTGTTGAAGTCTTGTCGGGAGTCTGAGACTTACAGTACAGTCGTCCACCCAACTGGGAATAGAGCTGAGAGGCTGTGAAACCTCCTCCTACAACCTTTAAAAGGCCCAGTACTATAGCTATGGGCAGTAACTCATCACTATCCTTGGAAATGTGAATATAGAATTATGTGAACAGTTTATCGGTTGTTTCTGGCAGGCAGGTGGTTGAAAGGAGTCCACCAATTTCGAATCAGTGTGATCTCCCGACCTCATTTCAACGTCAACCATCACTCTCCATTTGGGAATTCTCATCACTGTGATTCTCCTCTTAAATTTCGCAGTTTTGTCCATAGCTCTATACATCCTGTACCTGCTGAATTGCTGACTTTGACATCATACTGGAGAATGATGTTTGATAACAGAGCAATCCTGTGTATCAGAGGATGGGGTAGGACGGCCTTGTGGTGCATTATTTTGTCCAGAAAATAGCAGTTAAAGGCCACAGGAAGACATGTGGCCAGAAGATGTAGACCTGGCCTCAGTCCAACATCGGGCCAAATTTGTTGATCCCACATCAGATACGGCATCGACTGATGTCGGGTTAGGACGTCGAAATCGCAATATCTGTTCCCACCTGATTTCAAGGTCAGTCACTGCGTTCCGACCCCCTGTAGACGCACCTGTTGTCTACGTTGATTGACATATGCCGACATGTGGCGATGTTCGGCTATGTCCGGCGATCTGCGTCTACGCTCTAATGTAGACACACCTTTGCCGCGGTTGATTGATGTCCGGCTATGTTCGTTTACGTGAGGTAGATGCAGTGCATCTACCCGTCGGCTACGTGCGTCTGCCTGCATCTACAGCGTAGATACACCTCGCTCAACCCCGTAATGCAAACTCAGCCAATCTTGGTATGAAACAGCATCAAAGTCACACCTCGGACAAGTCTTAAGTCTCTTGGTAAGATCTCAGTTTGCTTGATATATGCCATATGCTTTGTAACCTTTGCATCACCTACAAGCGGCTACATGCGGCTACCTCGGCTAACATGCGGCTACGTCGGCCAACATGCGGCTACGTCGACCGACGAATGTAGACCAATGTGGACGGACTGCATCTACATCATGTAGACGTAGGGGTCCATCTACCTTTGGCTACGGGGGTAGACGGACCCTCTGTCTACATGGGGTGGGAACGCAGTGAGTTTCACAGCACACCGATGCCCAGGTCATTAACCTTAATCTGACATCAGTATTTTATTGAGTTGAGCTCAGTGTGATATCAAGACGACGTGGGCCGCCTTACATCAAATCAACCCACAACTACCAAACATTGGTGTATCTCAGGCAAAACAAATGTTAGAAAGTGACAGTCACAAGGGATTCACAGCAAGCAAAGGGATTTCAAGCAATGGAGTACAACAGACATGAAGAGTATTTAAGGGACACAAAAGCTGTGAAAGGGTGTATGGAAGGAAGTGAAACACTGTACACACTGCGTTGAGACCCCCCCATAGACCAAGGGTCAGTCTACCTGGGTAGACAGAGGGTAGACTGACCTGTCTGTCTACCCGAGTCTATGGTGGGTACACACACCTGGTTAAGCTGAGTCTACCGTCTGTCTACCCTGTAGATGGTGGTAGACAAACCCAGGCCAAGGTAGACCAAGGTGGACCGAGGCCAGGTTTTTCCAAAGAGCTTTCAACCCAGGTCGACAAGAAGTTTACAGTGAACTGTGAACTGTCAGCTAGTTGCCATGACTATTGAAGAGGGAAATGGAGTGACTTTTTGATCCAATTGCCACCGCTGTCAATGTCTGTGCACATGTTTGGCAATGCCGTGATATCAAATCTGCTGGCGTTCAGAACTAGGGCAAAGCAAGAGAGAGGCACCCAGACACAGCAAAGCCCAAATTAGTGATGTAGTTTGGATGTGGTGAGGTGTACCAACGGAGACCGAGGTAGACCGAGGTAGCCGAAGGCTGTCCACCTTGGTAGGGGGATGGGTAGACAGGGGTACACCGGTGGACCAACATATGTCGACATGTCAGGGTAGACCGAGGTGGACCAACATATGTCGACATGTCAGGGTAGACATATGTCTACCCGGTGTTGATCAATGTGCTGATGAACCTATCAAGAAACACCAAGGAATAGAAATTTGCAACATTCCCGAACACTGGTTGGCAGGAGTACCTCTCATAATGCCTTGCTTACGATAGTGCTCCTCCACCTTCTGCATTTTCGTTAATGATTCAGGATGCCGAGGTATCCAATTCCCATTCCCGAGTTTTATGAGACCGTTCTCAACTATGATCCAGCCAAGCGTGATGAACTCAGCCTTGGTTGGGCAGTCCCGAATGATGTGTGGACTGTTACAGAAGAAA